AAAAAAAACGAAACAAAACCTGAAAAGCATGAACTCTATCCAGCTGATCTTCAACGACCCCATCATCAAAAACGGCGAGGGAATCATATTCGGCCGGGATCCAAACACGTGCGACATCGAGATGTAGAACTTGCAGGGCATCAGTAACGAGCACTGCTACCTCACCTTCGGCGATAAGCGGCGACTCATCGCCCGGGACAGGCTCACCTTCGGCACCACTGTCATGTATGATGGCAAAGGCGACATATGCAAGAAGAACTTCACATGGATCATCGGCGGCGACCGATTTCTCCAATCCTCTCCCGTCATTGTTCTCAAAACTCGTATGCACATATGGATAATGTCGCCCACTTCCAAGAGCAGCTGGAACAGCTCCGAATCTTTCCCCACGGCCGGCTCGGCATGGAAGACCGAGTGCTGACGCTACCACACGGCGAGATGGCGTCGGAGGTTGCCAGGGCCTCTGCCTCACCTCATTCGTCCTCTGCTCGCCACAAGCGCAAAATGTCAACTCCCGCGGACGACGGTAAGCAAAAGAACGCGATCCTCTTAGAGGGGATAATGCTGGGCCAGGGAACTTTCGCACACGTAAACAACGTATGGGACGTGAGCACGGGCTTTGAATATACCTTAAGGTTCTTCAAGAACGCAGATGAATTCGATTGGATGGGATAAGTAAAGCGTATGAAGCAATTAGAACACGTGCGTGATCCTCGCTCTCGGAACTACTTGGCTACAGAAAGGGATTGATATGAACAGACGAATATCGTGAAGCTGATAGATTTTGAGAGTTCTAAGCCTGCTATGCTGATGGAATATGTGCCATGCGGCACCCTTACTAGTCAGCGGAAGTCCTCAACATTCTCAGAAGCAGAGCTGAAGGAGATCCTCGTGCAGAGCCGTGGGGCGCTCGAGTATCTCCACGGGCAGACGCCTCAAGTCGTTCATCGAGATCAAGCCAGAGAACATCCTCGTCCAGTCTCGTGCTCCGATGCACATCAAAGTGTCCGACTTTGGGCTCTCCAAGGTAGGCGACAGTCAACATACGCTCTGTGGGACATCCCTATATCTTGCTCCCGAATTAGATATGTTGCAAGGGCTAAGCAAAAAAGAGTCGTACACTGCTGGCGTTGACATTTGGTCTTTGGGAGTGACCATCCTCCAACTCGGGTACGGCCTGCCGAACTGGCAGTCAAATTCCATTGGCCGAAGCTGGTGCCAGCAATTCGTCTTGGAACTGCATTTGTGGAAACCAGATAGATTTAAGGTCTTGTATAGCATGCTCGTGGAAGCAGTAGACGAAGGAACCTCAGTCAGTGCATGCCGGCAGTATATCCTTGCCAATCGTGCGCTGCGGTCCGCTTCGGTACCGATCAACCCCGGAGCTGCCGCGTATCCGATCACCTACGAGCATGGGTGTATTCTGGATCCAAGCAATGGACTGAGATGGCTGCGGAATGCTGGATTGCGTATTTCTAAGCGCTTCCTTGCCGTTTGATGATTGCGGCAAGGTCTTTTGGGAGATGTTGTTTCTGCCCATAAGCTCAATTTCGTCACCGCCTGGGTGTTCAGACTCATTCTCGAGGGGAGGTCCGCGTTGGGCAGTCTAGTTGGCAAGTAAGCCACTAAGTTTTTTCTTATCTCATGGATACGGGCTGGCGTCTCGCAAGGCTCCAATGACGTACCATTCTCGTCCTCTGTACGGTAATGAGTCACTCTCTCGTACCCAGTTGTTGTAGAGATCCAGTTCGAGCCCGACTGCTAAGGAAAGAGTTGACTGACCGGCCCCAAAGGGATGCAGAGATCTTTCTGATGGTTGGGCTGCTACAGCAGATCCGGAACTCCACCAAAGAATACTCACGGCCGCTACCATTTCGTTGGTTAGCGAGGATTTCGCCATGCGCCTTGCGGTTCGGCGCTCAAGATGATGAGCGGTCTGCCGCTTCCTCGCGGTGATACGTCCGCGTTCAAAGACTGGATTAAGCCTTTCGCCCTGTCTTACTGGGCTCAAACAGAAGGGATTGGAATGTGCCTCGCTGGCCTATTTGGCCTCGGCATGGCATGCCGTCGTTGGGGACTCTGCCTTGGATGCGAAGCGCATGGAATCGAGAGCATCCTGCACCAACCTATTCTCAGACCCCGTCTCAATAGTTCACGAGGTCAACACAACAACTGGCTCAGCTTCATGCACGAGGTGAGACATGTTGGGAGGTGCGCGTTCCCGAGCCAGCCAGCTGGGTACTACGCGTGCATAAAATTGTGGCTAGGGTTACGGTAGCATAAGTTTGACGCGACACGCCACCGCCCGGCGTCCAAGCTGTCGAGCATTTTGTTGGCGTTTGGAACTAGCTCCGCAAGCTTTGGCTTCAGGACTGGGTTCCAAATTGCTCTGGCCGAACCAAATGACAAATGGCGAGAGGCCACCTGCAACAGCAGCTGATGGACATGGTATGTTAGGCCACTAGGTTCAAAGCTGGAACTGTGGCGAGAGCGCCACAACCTTTGGGCAACCCGCGACTAAAAACACGCATCGCATCACACTTTCCAATTACGCGATTTGCCTGTCATCCGTCTTCTGAAAGCTGGTTTACCGGTCACGAAAGTGAAAATCCTACCAGGGCTATGTCATCGTCTGTAGATGACCGTGACCCTGCGTTGTCCATGGCCCAAGGATCTACATGACTCACCTCGTGCATGAAGCTGAGTCCGTTGCCGTGTTGACGAGGTCAACACATCGTAAAATTAGATTTCTTGGCAGAAGGTTTTTATGATTTCTTCCCGCTTCTTGTGTTTCTTCATGCTATCTTTCATCTTTGATTTAATTACGAATTCAACTCTGTCTTACGCAAATTGCAAGAATGGGCAGCCTCTCCGCCTGGCTGACAGAAATCAGCGACCGTGCCGTGGACATATTAACATTATTTCACTCTGACTGCTCTGGTGCATATTGTGAACTTATCAACGATATCCTTATTAACAGTTGGAAGCTCATGCTTTATAACGGCGCGATCCCAGAAGATAAAATTAATGAAGCCGTCTCAGGATGGATCAAGGCACTGAAAGACATAGGAGAATATAAGGAGCTTTCATTCAAGGTTGAAGACCTCATATATTATACAAAGGAGACACTCATGAAGCACACGGAGTGCGTTAACATTCCGGCGTTGTTGGAAGTTACACTCACAACTCTGGGGGGAACGAAATTTCAATATATTGGTGAGAATTCAATAGGCCACAACATTGAGGTAAGATTATACTATCGGGTGTTGGGGCTGAACTGATAACATAGCAGAGTTATTGCGAAATCCGTCTTTCCCCATGGCTTACGGCTTGTGGATATGTTGATAAAGACAGAGCATATTGGGGCTATAAATGGAACAACATCGCAGCTCAAGATCTGATGTCCTTCAGTGCTTCGACGTAAAACCTCAGATTCAGATTGCCAGCCCATCATTCGCATATGGCATGGCCTCTGAAACGTATTCAGAGAATGTAACGTCTGTCCGTGCGTAACGAGAATCACGCTCTGGCGAGAAAATCAAACAGGTACTTCCACTTTGAACGCTTTACACTTGCACCCACTGCACTAGATTTTTTGAAATATTTTTAGATACTAAATGGAGCTACTTATCTATCGGTTTCAGTTCTTATAATTTAAAATTACCTTTGAATTGGTGCTGTCATGCCTGTTCCTTTCTGGACTTGAAGTACGATATTTCAGTATTTCACTTCCACAGCACCAATTATAGACCTATATTAATCCTAAACCTGATTTGTAGCAGCTCGCTTAAGGCCTTATTCAGGTGATCAGCCATGGTGCCTCGCTTCTGTGCGTAGTCAAGTTGCAGGGGCCAGAGCAGATGACTCTCAGGAGATCAAGGTCTGAGAGGGAACTAGCCCTAACGTCGGGATTGTAACGGGCTAGGCCCGTGCTGGAGGCTGCGCCGGTGTACTCAAATGCGCGCTCAGCTCATGGCTCAGCGCTGCATTCTCTTCTCCTTTTCTCTCTATCTTGGTTGTAGATAGCATCTGGACTAGATAGCTGGAATCCAGTTACTAGAGACCGCTTATATATAACCAAGATCAAGAAGGCACTGAAGAACACAAAGACTGAAGAAATTAAAAGGAAGAAAAAACGAAGCAATAAAATGCAGAACCCTACAGAAGACATCAGTATGCTGCCCATGTCCAATATGAACAAAGTAATTCAACAGCTGTTTACAAGCCTCTAGAACCTGGATGCCAGATTTGAGAGACTGGAATCGCAATCGCAGCAATCATTTAGCACGCCTGAACCCACGCCGCACACTATTATTACCCTAACAGCTCCAACCATAAAGCCGCGCTATAGCCTGCCTGACCTGCCTATGTTCAGTGGTAATAAATCGCAATAGAGGGGATGGAAACTAGAGATAGAAGGTAAAATCAAAGAAGATGCACAAGCTATTAGAGACCTAAAAGCGCAACTATGCTATATCTATATGCGCCTTGAAGGAACAGCTAAAATCAACATCACTACAGTCTATGAAACAGCTATCTAATGACAATCTCTAAACCCCTATGAACTTCTTTACCGCCTTGACCTCCTCTATGGCGAACGCAACTGGAAGCAAAAGGCAATTCAGAACCTGCACTCTATCCGCCAAAAAGAAGACAAAACCTTTTATTCCTTCTACCCTTGCTTTGAAAAGGAAATCGCTAATGCTAATATGGAAAACTGGGATGATGACATAAAGATATCCTACCTGCGCAATATACTCAGCAATAAGATGAAGGATAAACTTATAGGTGCCCTGGGTGGCGACACGCATATATACTCGGGATTTGTTACTAAGTATGAAATCCTAAGTAACGAGATGGAATTGTACGGTCAGTAGGTGAAGAGAAGAGGTATTACTAGAAATACTTAAGCCCCCACGCCAGCAGCAACTATTAGCATCAGGGCCAATACGCAAGTGGACCATGAAAATATAATAGAGTGGGAGCCGACTCTAATGACCCAGGTAAATGCAATCCATCCAAATAACAAAGGCAATATAAACGGATACCCTTCAAAGCGTCCAGAAGATCAGGAGCTATTAGGGAAACGAGCAAAATGGGTCGACCAGGAAGAGATTGATGCCCGATGTCGCAAGAGGCGCTGCCTTTGATATGGCCGCAGCCGATGCCGAATAGCAACATGCCTATTAGCAGCCGCTATCTGACCTATATATACTAAGGTTAATGCTGCGGCAAGCTCTATAGTTACCAACGCTGCTGTTGAAGAGGAATCAGAGGGAAGCGACATAGAACAATAGGACCACGCGGCAGCTTAGAGCGAATGGAAAGAAACAGGAAGAGCGAAGATGGATGGTGACCTGTTCTTAGTAGATGTTAGATTGAATGGAACCGACTTTATCACTAGACTCATTAACTCAGGCTGCCTTTGCTACTCCACCATAAGTGAATAACTTTACCAATCTCTGAGACTGCCATCGTTGAAAATAACGCCTTACTAATTAGAGGGCGCTGTTAGGAAGAACGCTGAGCCCACAACAACTCTAAACACTGTTACCTACGCCTTAATTGATATAGACAGGCATCAGCAGGAACGTGTTTTCTTCTACGTTGTCCCTGGCCTTGCTTACAACCTGATACTAGGGAACCTATAGCTATAAGATGCAGATGTCACCATCTCTGCATGATAAGGCTGCTTGGACATCGGCGCCTCACACGTCCGGGTTTGGAACTGTAAGAAAATATCATACAGACCACCTGAGCTTAAGGCTATAAAGGTTATAGCCACCGCATTTTTAGCAGAAGTGAGAAGAAGCCGAAGGAAATACCAACAGGAAGGTGTCAACCTTAATATAGGAGTATACGCTATCTCGATCGCAGATATTGAGAAAGCCTTGAAACCCTGCAAACAATCAGACCCTAAGGTTAAACTACCACCCTACTACCACTAATGGTTGAAGGCTTTCAACTGGTCTCTGGCTAAGAAACTACCACCCTATCATAAGGGCGTTGACCTACGTATTGAGATCGAGAAGGACCACAACAGATCCGAAAAAAAAATTCCTTAGGGACCGCTTTATAGCATGGGTTAAGAAGAACTACTTATACTTAGGAAGACCCTCACCAAACTGTTAGATAAAGAGTTCATCTGTATCAGCAACTCGCCAGCCGCCGCACTAGTGCTAATAGTCAAGAAACCTAGCAGAGGAGTCCGATTCTATATCGATTATTAAGGTTTGAATAATATCACTAAGAAGGATCGCTACCCGCTTCTACTATTCATAGAAACATTGAGAAATGTAGTGAAGGCGCGTTGGTTCACGAAGCTCGACGTTATTGCAGTATTCCATAAGATCTGGCTAGTAAAAGGAGAAGAATAGAAAACAGCCTTTAGAATGAGATACGGGCTGTTTGAATGGGGTGTGGTTCCCTTTAGACTAACCAGAGCACCTGCCGCCTTCTAGTGGTATATAAACAGTGTCTTGCAAGATTACTTAGACAACTTTGTATCCGCTTATATCGACGACATCCTGATCTACTCCTTGGGATCCCTCCAAGATTACTGGCGAAAGGTAGGAAAAGTCCTCTAATGCCTGATGGACGCCGGACTCTAGATCGACATCGATAAGTGCGAGTTTGAAACCAGGAGAGTCAAATACCTTAGATATATCATTGAAGCAGAGGTTGGAATATATATCAATCCCAACAAGATAATCACTATACATAAATAGGCCATACCATTGTCTGTAAAAGCCGTGCGAGCGTTTATTGGATTCGCTAATTTTTATCAAGTCTTTATTCTAGAGCTCTCTGAGATCGCTGAGCCTCTCACCAACCTAATAAAGAAGGACATCCCCTTTCGATGGGATGAGGCATATAAGGATGCATTCAAGAAGATTAAGGAACTCCTTATTACAGCGCCAATATTGGCTCACTTTGATCCAGAAAAAGAGACCCTACTAGAAGCCGATTCATCTGGACATGCAACTGGCGGACTACTTTTACAGAGGGATGAAAAAGGCAACTAGCAACCTGTCACTTATCACTTGAAGAAACACTCACCCATAGAAGCCAACTATCCTATCTATGATAAGGAGCTCCTCGCCATAGTTCGATGCCTGGAGGCCTGGGAGCCAGAACTATATATGGTTAAGCACTTCACCATCCTGACAGACTATAAGAACCTGAAGCACTTCTACACCGAGAGACAGCTATCTGAGAGACAGGTGCGCTGGTCAGAATTCCTCTCAAGATTCAACTTCACCC